TAGAGTAGATCCGAAAGTGTTTTACTTTGATGTTGTAGTCATAATTGGTATGAACCAATCATTACTCTTTTTGAGCTGTTCTTTGACTTTGGTGTCTGGATAATGCTAGCCTATTCACTTTATAGCYACAGTGTAGTCATGGGAGAAATATGGTTTCCCATTTGGTTTTCTATGATTTCAACTTGATCAATGGCAGGGCAGATTTTTCACTTTCTCAGTTCAATAACTAGCATAGGTGAGTTTCTATTTTAAAAAATTTACTGAGTTTTTTAGTGGCCTAATTATCATTCTTTTGGGTATTTGAAGATAATTTGTATCTATGGTTAAATACAAATTACTTACATATCTATAGATACTTACATATCTATAAAATTACTTACATTTCAAATCTTCTGATTCATTGTTTTGGGTCTGATTAGTCAATTTTGGAGATGTGTCTCTTCTCTCCCACTTCCTTCCCTCATGCCCTGTGGTAGTAGACCTTTTATACTATTCGATTTTTTTATCTTAGGGATATAGCAGAATTTAATTCTGAATAGATTTCCCTCTTGAATTGGCCGCTGAGAAACTCCAGGCCAGTGTTGTCACTTCTTTTAGCAAGTATTAAATGACATGCTTTTTTCTGTCRAGATGGAAATTGGTCTATAAATGTCATTTCATTTTTTTTCCTGTTCTTATTTTCCTTTCACTATGTGTATGTGTATGCAAGACACTCTAAGTATTTTTATTAATTCAGCTGGATCTAAATATACCACTTCCTCTGTATGTTATAAATGTAATTAAACTACTTCGAAATTTTATTTGTGGAGTATGCTGTATTCTTTGTTATTTCAGGTAATGAATTGTCTTAAATGAGGCTGAGCATRTATATTTTGTTCAGTATAAATGTCTTTTTAAATATAGGATTTCAGGTGTATAATAAGTCCTGATCTATCCTAGTAATTATATATTATTCTCCTGTAGTTAAAGGATGTAAGAAATAGGTAAAACATAAACTTCATTTGTTGCTTGCTAGTATTCTATAGATAATTTGAACTATTAGATATTTTCTGCTAAACCCTAAGAATCTAGGCAATTTACTCTTAAACTTAGCCTGTTTGTGACTGTAGCAAGATTGTAATCCCAGCAATTCAAGAGGCWGAAGTAGRAAGATTAAAAGTTTGAGACCAGCCCTGGCAACTTAATGTAGCCCCTATCTTAAAATTAAAAAGTGCTGGGCATGTAGCTCAGKGGTAAAGCACTTCTGGGTTCAATCTCCCAAAACCAGAAACTTTGAGAAAATAAATTTTAAAGTAGATTAAAACAAGCTTCCATTAGTCTGATAATTTAGGGTATTTTCTGAAAACCCAAATGACTAGTAATGCCAGTGTTATGATCTTGAGAAAATTACCCACTTTGAGTCTAAATGTCTGCATTTATAAATTGTGAGAAAATTGTCCTTCATAATTGCTTGAGGTGCAAATACTGTGAAAGTGCATTCTTTTTTTTCCTTCAAAATATTTTATTTTACAAGCTATATCACATTGATCCAATGAGGAATGATATTGGCCAAGTTATTTTGTGTGCATACAAATATGTAACAATAAATCCCACCATTATGTACAACTATCATGCACCAATAAAAAAAATA